GTCTGGTTTTCCGATCCTACAAAATCTCGTTAACCGGTTCCCAGGTTTTCCGGGTCCGGGTCTACCGGTCTGGGTTTGGACCCATTCTCGTCCCTACTACATGGTTGTCCCTTATCAGCTATAGATCAGTAGACTTTGGAATTAATAACGGATCTAGGCTATCTTTATTCATAAGTAATATTAGCCTAAGACTTAGTGTTAATTAAACCTAGGTTACGTCAAAGGAAAAGCCAAGTGCCAAAGAGAAGCGTTGTCCGAGTTTCGAGTCATCACTTTAGCTAGTTAGTGCATAGTTACTTTCATCTTACACAAACACACACACACACACACATATATATATATATATATATATATATATATATTATTTAAAATAATTACATGCTATATGTGCTTATTATCCATGTTCCTGATATCTATGCTAGATGAATGATTTTCATACATGTTTTACTTGATTTAAACTGTATAAGTATTTTTATTACCTATAAATACATTGGGTAAAGATGGGTAGATGTAAGATGATATAGATGATGAGATGCCTTGGCTTTAAAGATGATCTAGACGTCTAACGGAGTATAAATGACGAACACAGACTATTCTAAACAGTCTCATGGAACGCTAGCAGGCTTGCAAACTATATGTGTTTTTGAACTAAGTGTTCACCATGCGTACTCCACCCCCCCACCCCACATGGTTGCCTTATTGACATATAGTGCTAAGGATTCCCCTGAGCTTTATTATCTATCCCGAAGATAATCCTTAGAATAAGTCCTTAGAATTAGATGTCTTAGGGACAAAAAGCGAGGATAACAGGAATGGGTAATCAGGTTGAATGCTTGATGAAAAATATAATTAAAATAATATAATTATTGTGGGTTGAAAACATTATGTGCTCATCAGGCCCCCAAGTCTGACCCACTCAGTTTCTTGTATTATAGGTAGTGGCAAGAGAGCTCAAGTGTGATGTTATGACGAGCGATTTATGGATGCTTATAGGCCAGTAATTTAGATAAACAAGTGTAAGACGTATATTATTTTCGTTTATCCTTATGTATTGTATTAACAATGGAATCCCAACGTTTTCAATATAAATAAAATACATTTTCTTCGGGAATGTTTTGATAATACCATTATCATGTTTTTGGAATAAATTCCGCATTATTATTCTTTAAAAAGGATACCCTGATTTTTAAGAAGTATAAATAAATCGCTATTTTCTCGCCGTGAATTTGGGGATGTCACACAAACCTATATGGGTGCTCAATTTTCAAACTCAAGAACTCAAACCTAGAAATTAATTCTTCAGCTTCATATTCTTCTGTTCAAACTCAAGAACTCAAACCCAAAAACTAATTCTTCATCTTCATCTTCTTTGATCAAAAATTCCAGATCTATCGAGTGCTTCTGATGGATTTGTTCATCGTGTTCTTGAGATCTTTATCGAGTTTATCAGGGTTGTTTATCGTGTTCTTGAGAGCTTCTTCAGATTTGGATGTGTGCGTGCGTGTGTTAGATCATAACACAAACCTATAACGACATGTGTGTATGATTTCTTTTTAGCTAGATCTGCCATGGATGAAATCGTTTGCTCAAGAAATCGTTTTTGAGGTTTTATTCTTCAAAAAACCAAATTTTTGCTCAAGAAATCGTTTTAGATTTGCTTAAGAACACCATGAACACAGGTTGAAGACGATGAACAGTAATCTAATGTGTATGTATGTAAGTGCTCATCACATATTTGATGTACGAGTTTCAACCTCCAGACATCGAAGTATGTGTGTGTGTTCATCTTCCTTGTTTGTAGATCTTCATCGTGTTCGTCTTCTTCCCAGATTTGGGTTTTTGGAACGATTTTCAGATCTCTGTGTGTGTGTTCATGCTCGATTTTGGAACAACACACACACACACACACACACACACACTTCTCTCTTATCTCTTTTCTGAAGTCCATTTTGGAACAATACATACCACCTCTTAATCCCCATCCAACACCATCATCTGAAAATCATAAACCCTAGAACTCGATTTTAATGGTGTCTTGGAGGTTGAAGACGATAAATAGTGATTTGATGTGAATGTATGTATTTTTAAGTTTTTTGTGTATGTGTTCTTGAATCTGGAATATATTTAATCTGTTTATCTTTGTTTTCTGAAAAGATTATGTTTCGCGGGAAACTCACACACATTGGAGCCTCCTCGGTGAAGATGACCGAAGACTCGCCCGAGTTGTCAAATACGTTCGAAATTGGCTAAACCTATGATTGCACTTCATAATGACGTTTTTTGAACTGTTAAACAAGTTCAATGGGAAAATCTGAAACAAGAAAACTCAATACTAAATGTATGTAGGCCTGGCAATGGATCGGGTTTTGACCCTGATTCGATCCAAACCCTTAACAATTATACGGGTTTGGAGCATAGTTTTTGATCCATTTACCCGTTAACGACCCGTATCCGCTAACCATTTTATTAAAAGGGTCGGGTATGGATCATCATCGATCCGATCCATTTATAACCCATCCCATATAAATTTTAGAATTATACATTTATATTTTATACTGCTAAGTTCTACTTTAAATTCCAATCGAAAGTCCAACGACTAAACTATTTTTACATAGGACTAGATGACTCAACTTCTAGACTTTCATTCTTCTCCCAAGAATCATGATGTCATTTCATTTATATTTCATCATATAATCACCAATTTTATTTATAAATCAATAAATTCATTTGTCAATCGGAAGAAAGTTTGTAATCGTTATTCTCTATCAATGCAATCGAGAGTCAAAAACCAATCGGAAGTAACTACAATAATGATTTTAATTCTAATCGAAACTCTTCGAGTACATAATGTGTTTCTAAATCAACATTTGTTCTATTTAACAAATGTGATTTTATGATTTAAGTAAAATGAGTGTGCTTATTCAAAAAACCTACGGGTTACGGGGCGGGTTTGGATATCTGCTGATTCGGTGGATAAGGGTATGAGTTTAATTATTTAAAACCCTACGGGTTATGGAGCCGGTTTGGATCGGGTTTTGGAATTTGTTAAAAGGGTTTGGATTAAGGTCGATTCGCTTCAAATCCGCTCCATTGTTAGGTCTAAATGTATGTAAATCAAAAAATATGTTACCCTTTTAAGTGAGTATTCCTCAAACATGTATCCGCGCAAAAATTGACAAAAAAAAAAAAAAAAGTAAATAAAGTAAAACGATAAACTTAGGAACCCATATCGAACTACATTAAGTAGCATCCAGTTAGAATGAGGATAGTAGCATCCAATTACAATGAGGATAGCAGTTTCCACTTTCCATCCTACATTGGAGTAAAGTTGGAATGGTGGGGGCTAATATGGGATATAATGTCCGGTTAACAACTTGGATGTGAAGCTTAATATTGTTTATTAGTGGTTGGTGGATCAAACGGTAGGTAACATTAGCAAATTAACATAATCATTTCTTAAAGCCAATTTACAACTGCCTCGCTTTCTCTCTCCCTTTTGTCCCCATAATTTTTGGGTCTTTGTTGACATAATGACATTAAAAACATAATTGACGTAATGGGGGCTAAGATAGTCATACAACTTCTTGTGTCTTTGCCACCACCCACATTGTACACCTAAAATTTTAGACTAATCGTTAAACTCTAATAATATCACTACTTATAATATTTATTGGATTTTATATGTATATATATATATATATATATATATATATATATATATATATATATATATATATATATATATATATATATATATATATATATATATATATATATATATATATAGTATTTTAACTATTTATTGTGTGGATGTAGGATTCATTGTTGACCAATCATTTTAGTTATCTTAAGAAAGTGATTAATAAATATTATTGAGTTAAATATAATTGGAAAATACAATCTACATTCAATATAAGGGTATTTTAATCAATCAATATAAATTTAAAAAAGCAAAATTGTGGATTTTATGGAATAATTAATCTTTTAACTTTAAAAATATGATTTTTTTTATAATAATTCTATTAATTCGGACATTCTAACTGAATGTGTTTATGGTTATTTTGAAAAAAACTAATTTATTCTGATCTTATAAAGATTACTAGATTCAGTTCTTACATATATTCTAAAGAATACGATCGTGGACATAAATTATATTTATTTTAAAAGAATACGACTAATAATAATTAACAATTACATTTTTTCTTAAAGAATAAAATTGAGAATTGTTACAAAAATCATTGAAATCTAAGTAAAACACTAATACATTCTGATAGAATATTATTGCTAATCTATTATGACAAAATATCTTGCTAATCCATTTCAAAATATTGTTGCTACTTATCATATGTTGACACTATGTATTCCCCATCCGATGTGAATGATAGAATTGGTTTCTAACATTTCGTTGACCTGATTTGGTTTCCAATATTTCGTTAACCTGGTTTGTTTTCCACATCAATGATAGCCTCTTCAAAGCAAAAACCATATAGAAAACATAATCAACTTTCTGATAGAACGGTTTTAGTATCAGAAAAATCTTCTAGCAAGGGTTGCACGATGCATTTCAGTTTCAGTCATTAAGTTATTTGGCAATAAACATTCCTGTATCAGAAAAATTCATATGAAGTGAAATAAATTGTAGAATCTTATGAAAAATAGACTCATTTGTAAACAACATACCTTGAAATAATTACCAACAAAAGAACCATAGATCAGAAAAATATACTTTGGATCCGGTGCAATCAATCTTTTTCCAATTCCTTATTATGATTCCCGTTCCAGAGTTGACGTCATTCCCAGATGCTAATAAATCGTCGTTGTTGTTGTATAGTTCTTGTTCTTCCTTGACAAAACTCTTAACTTGGTCTTCAACAAGAGGGAACCAGATGACATTTTCATCAGGAAAATTGCCTTGCAATTCGTATCCCATGTAAAATGGCATCCTTCTTTCCTTAACATATGGTCCATTACGATTTGCATCATAAACCATTTTGCCCTTTAACTCGCTAATAGATTCATGTTCTTTAAAATGATCCATTTCCATAGAAACTTGAGCAGGCCAAACATCCTTATAACTAGTATCCTCCAAAGGAAAACGAGCTGGTTCAACTAAGACATTATCCAAAAACTCCATGATCTCTTTCACATTTGAACCATACTGATATTGCATAGAGTTATCAATTGTAGGGTTACCTAGGTATAAAGATCCAAACTCTAAATGAATCTGAGAATGCAAATGGGAAAAGATCTTTGAATCCAAATGGTCTGTATCACAAAGGCCTTGTAAATCAAGATAACCGAGAGGGTCAACACTTGCTGCATCAGTATCTCCGATTTGACCAATCAACATTGGAGTGACAATCTCTGAATGAGGATCCTCAATGGAAGACTTCACGATGGAAGGCGAAGAAACATTGTTCTGATCAACATTAATTAACTTTGGGCTCCTAGGATCATCATCTTTGCCATGATGCTTCCTGAATAAACGACAAAGCACAAAAGGGCTCTACAAATATAAAATCAAAACACGAATATTTGTAAAATTTGAACAATCAATCGTCATTTCAAAACGTAAATAGTTCACACTCACATACCTATCCAGAATTAGTGACATCGAGTTCCTTTTATGTAGCACAGTATTCATGGATGACCCAATAAGTCATCTCGCCTTTTGGAGCATGACCAAGAAAACACAAGTGTCTTATATTTCCTAGTAGTCTTAATCACTGCCCATTCCGATACTTACAATCCTTGGGGCGGAATAAGAACCATTCGTTGTCAATTGATTCTATCATCGATAAATATGTAAAAAGTTAAAGTTCAAAAATAATGTTAGCTTATCACCAAATAATCAATATCAAATTGAAAATACAAGAAATTTACAGAAGGGCATACTGGGAAAGTCCCAAGTTTCTTTCTTGCAAACATCGATTTCCCGAATACAGCTTACGTCTTCGTTATAAAGGATGTGACAGAGACGATGAGAAATGAGTTGTTGGTTGTGATAAGGGAAGGAATAAAGGAAGACAATGTGAGCATATGGAGGTGTGGTTTTGTAGGGTTAGAAAAACTAATTTCCCTTGGTGAAAGGATATTAAATAATTTAGTTACCATAATTAATCATAGTAAAGATTACTATTTTACCATTATTCATGTTTTTGAAATGATTGGTCCACATTAATTCCTACATCCATACAATAGATAGTTAGAACATATGAACCTAGCTCTCTCTCTTTCTCTCTCTCTCTCTCTCTCTCTCTATATATATATATATATATATATATATATATATATATATATATATATATAGAGAGAGAGAGAGAGAGAGAGAGGGGTGAGTTATTGAGCAAACTAAAAAAAACATAAAAACTTGCGAACTATTTGTCAGCAGTCATATGGACTGTAGACGCAAATATGAATGCATGCATTAGCAGTGATATGGACTGTGGACACAAATATACATACATGCATCATCAGACATATGATGTGGATGTAGATTTGCATGAATGCATTAGCAGTGCGCATATATAAACATTTTAAAAAAAATTATCAAATCTTTTTTGAGCCTAGATAAGATTTAAACGATGCATTTCATTAATATTTGTGGTTTTGGTTTTAAAAATTATATTCATATTGGTAGTTCTCAAGTTCGGACGTTTTTTTGGTTCCCAAAAGAACTCTCTCTCTCTCTCTATATATATATATATATATATATATATATATATATATATATATATATATATATATATATATATATATATATATATATATATATATATATATATATATATATATATATGGCGAATGTCCGTGCGTTACGCAGAAGGATCAATATAGTTGAAATCTTTACAAATATATGTTTTTTAAATATAACAATAATGTTGTTGTTAAATTTGATATAATAATTTGTATACTAAGTTGATATAATATATTGATCATTTTAAATTATATGATAATATATACATCTATTAAAACTGCATAATCTCAATCTTTTGAATGACTTCTACACGCGGGTTACTCATGAATAAAATTAAATATAATATATAGTGTAATGTTATTTATAGTTGTTGTTATTGTTAATTAATTTTTTAAAATTTATTTGGTTAACGTTTTAATTTATATCACTGTAATTATTTAAAACATCAAACATTTTTTTTTATTTTAAAGGTAACCTATATTCATTTATTTAGAGTTATTTTTAATTATTGTTATTGTAAATTATTTTAAGTTACTTATTTGAAAACTTTTAACGATTACAGAAATATATTTAGAAAATATCTTAGTTAAATTGATATTACAAGTTAGTTTTTGCATTTATATCATTTTTAACCATTCACAAAATATTCTTTGGGGCTTTTAAGTGAAATTGAAATTTAAATTGAAGTTGACCTTGTAATGCGGTATTTAAATATTTTGTCCAAACTGTTCAAAAGTTGTAGCTGTAAACTGATAATGGTTTACATACAACAACATATTAAATCTAATAAATTAAGTATAATATGTTAAAAGTTAAAGACATAACTTTATAAGTAGAAGTAAAAATATTATTTTATTATTGAAATTTAGTTTATTTATGATTACACTTTTGGTTTGATATTTATTTAACCTTATTAACCAATGTATAATCATTATTAGAAAAACACTACAATTTATCACTTTTAACTATTTACAAAGTATTCTTTAGATTATTTATATCGAACTAAAATTTATATTTAAGTGGATCTTGTAAGGTTATATTTAAATTAACAATTTAAGTATTTTAAACACATTATGCAAAAGTTGTAGATTTAAAATAATAATGGTTTACATACAATAACAAATTAGACCTAATAAATTAAGTATAATATGTTAAAAGTTAAAAATATAACTTTATAAGTAGAAGAAAATATATTCTTTTAATATTGAAATTTAGTTTATATATGATTACACTTCAGGTTTTATATTTATTTAACCTTATTAACCAACTTATAATCATTATTAGAAAGAAATTGAAAAGCCATGAGAGTTTCAAATGAATGTGGTGAAAGGAAAAAGGAATGAGAGTTTCAAATGAATGTGGTGAAAGAAAAAATGCTTCCTTTATAAGTATACTAGGCGAATACCCGTGCGTTGCGCAGAAGCATCTATATAACTGAAATCTTTACAGGTTTTTTTTATAAATATAACAATAATTTTATTGTTAAATTTGATATAATAATTGGTATATTAAGGAGATATAATATATTGATTATTTTGAAGAGTAAATTACACGAATGGTCCCTATGGTTTGGGGTGATTTGAGCGCTTGGTCCATTCTTATTTTTTTTAACTCGGAAGGTCCCTACTATTTGTTTCTGTTACGCGATTTATCCTTACTGTTTGTTTTTGTTACGCGTTTGGTCTCTATCTTACCTAAAAACACTATTATTTAAATAGGGAAAAATTGTGGGTTAGGTAAGGTAAGGTGAATAGGTGGGGTTGTGGTGTGTTTATTCAAATAAATTAGAAAATCAAGGGAAAATAGTCTTTTTAGGTAAGATATGGACCAAGTGAGTAACAAAAACAAATAGTAAGGACCTTTCGAGTTAAGAAAAATAAGTGAAGGACCAAACATGCAAAATACTCTAAACCATAAGGACCATTCATGTAATTTACTTTATTTTGAATTATATGATAATATATACATCTATTAGAACTACATAATCTCAATCTTTTGAACGACCTCTACCCGCGGGTTACTCATAAATAAAATAAAATATAATATATAGTTTAATGTTATTTATAGTTGTAGTTATTATTAATTAATTTTTTAAAATTTATTTGTTTAACATTTTAATTTCTATCATTGTAAGTATTTAAAACATCAAACAAATTTTTTTTTTTTTCATTTTATAGGTAACAATATAATCATTTATATAGAGTTATTTTTAACTATTGTTATTGTAAGTTATTTTAACTATTGTTATTGTAAGTTATTATTAATTAATTTTTTAAAATTTATTTGCTTAACGTTTTAATTTCTATCATTATAATTATTTAAAACATCAAACAAATTTATTTTATAAATATAACAATAATTTTATTGTTAAATTTGATATAATAATTCGTATATTAAGGAGATATAATATATTGATTATTTTGAAGAGTAAATTACACGAATGGTCCCTATGGTTTGGGGTGATTTGCGCGCTTGGTCCCTACTTATCTTTTTAACTCAGAAGATCCCTACTATTTGTTTCTGTTACGCGCTTTATCCCTACTGTTTGTTTTTGTTACGCGTTTGGTCTCTATCTTACCTAAAAACACTATTATTTAAATAGGGAAAAATTGTGGGTTAGGTAAGGTAAGGTGAATGGGTGGGGTTGTGGTGTGTTTATTTAAATAAATTAGAAAATCAAGTGAAAATAGTCTTTTTAGGTAAGATATGGACCAAGTGAGTAACAAAAACAAATAGTAGGGATCTTTCGAGTTAAGAAAAATAAGTCAAGGACCAAATATGCAAATTACTCTAAACCATAGGGACCATTCATGTAATTTACTTTATTTTGAATTATATGATAATATATACATCTATTAAAACTAAATAATCTCAATCTTTTGAACGACCTCTACCCGCAGGTTACTCATAAATAAAATAAAATATAATATATAGTTTAATGTTATTTATAGTTGTAGTTATTATTAATTAATTTTTTAAAATTTATTTGTTTAACATTTTAATTTCTATCCTTGTAAGTATTTAAAACATCAAACAATTTTTTTTTTTTCATTTTAAAGGTAAAAATATAATCATTTATATAGAGTTATTTTAACTATTGTTATTGTAAGTTATTATTAATTAATTTTTTAAAATTTATTTGCTTAACATTTTAATTTCTATCATTGTAATTATTTAAAACATCAAACAATTTTTTTTAACGGTAACAATATAATCATTTATATAGAGTTATTTTTAACTATTGTTATTGTAAATTATTTTAAACTAATTATTTGAAAACTTTTAACGATTATAAAAATATCTTTAGGAAATATTTTAGTTAAATTACAATTTAGTTTTTGCATTTAACACTATAATTTATCATTTTTAACTTTTCACAAAATAGTCTTTGAGTTTTTTAAGTGAAATTGAAATTTATATTGAAGTTGACCTTGTAATGTTATATTTAAAATAACAATTTAAGTATTTTGTCCAAACTGTTCAAAAGTTATAGCTTTAAATTGATAATGGTTTACATACAACAACATATTAAATATAATAAATTAAGTATAATATGTTGAAAATTAAATACATAACTTTATAATTAGAAGTAAAAATATTATTTTAATATTGAAATTTAGTTTTTTTATGATTACACTTTAGGTTTGATACTCATTTAAACTTATTAAACAACTTATAATCATTATTAGAAAGACATTACAATTTATCACTTTTAACTATTTACAAAATATTTTTTAGATTGTTTAAGTTGAACTAAAATTTATGTTTAAGTTGATCTTGTAAGGTTATATTTAAATTAACAATTTAAGTATTTTATACAAATTGTTCAAAAGTTGTAGCTTTAAAATGATAATGGTTTACATACAACAACATATTAGACCTAATAAATTAGGTATAATATATTAAAAGTTAAAAACATAACTTTATAAGTAGAAAAAAAATATTCTTTTAATATTGAAATTTAGTTGATATATGATTACAGTTTAGGTTTTATATTTATTTAACCAACTTATATCATTATTAGAAAGAAATTAAAAAGTCATGGGAGTTTCAAATGAATGTAGTGAAAGGAAAAATGCTAGTTTTATAAGTATATAATGATAATGATAATGATATATATATATATATATATATATATATATATATATATATATATATATATATATATATATAGAAAATAAAAACAGTTGTGAGTGGAGGAATCATTGTCACCCAATAATTTATTTTTGCCGTAAAACCATCCATTGAACCGGGGGAAAGGGAAAATGAATACAAATGTGTTTTCCAATCAAACATGTTTTCTTAAACTATGCTAAGCGCTACCTTAATATATACAAAAACA